GGGGGGGGGGGGGGGGGGGGGGGGGGGGGGGGGGGGTTGTGCATGATGAATTCATCCGGCCTGTGAATACTTAGCAGCGCAGGCATGTGAATACTTAGCCGATCCGAAATCTGAAAACTGATATCTGGTGTATTCCACAAGAACCGTTTTTTGGCCCGGCGGCCAGTATGTCAGTTGATTCGGTGAGGGTGTCGGTGACTTCCTGTGAAAGTCCAGTGAGTGGTGGTGCTTTGTGGTTGTTGCTTTCCCATGCAAAATCGGCGCCCCAGTGACGGGAATCACACTCAGCACCCGAGTGGGACGGCTGAGCGAAACACACTCTGACAATTGTATTCAGTTAACTCAGTTCCCAGGTCAAAAATGGTGATGGAACCGAAAGGTGAAAAGGTCGGAGAACTTGAAGATGTTTCAAAAAATGGTTTGCGCACATCTGCAGTTCTTGAACGCGCGGCAGCTGACGGCGGCAAAGGAAAACCTGTTTGTGGGAGGTATCATGAATCACCATGGCAACAAAACAAAGAAGAGTGGAGTCAAAGCTTGAAAAAACGGCAGGTACGCAGGGCTGATCAGGCCCCGCTTCCCACTCTCGCCCACAGCTTCGTTGCGTGTGGTAGGGCGAGAGTGCCACACGCCCCTGCCTGATTGGAGTGGTCGAGGGAAACCCTTTGTCCAGGGGTGGACACACACACACACACCTCAGAACATGCCTGAAGGCTAAATGGAGGGTGTGTGGAGAAAGGGGGTCAGCAAAAATCGCTTATACGAAGTTAGTGCATCAAAAATACCTTCCACGAAGTTCTGCGAAGCTTTCTGGGATTTCGTTGCAGTCAGTCAGTTCTCCTACTGGCCCACCATTCCACGAACTGTCCACGAATAGCCTTGGGTTCTACGAATGTCCCGCGCCTTCCACGATGTTAGTAGAATAGGTTTTTGCAAAACCCTTTTCTGTGCACTACCCTTCCGTTTGCCTCTGAATGCCGCTCTGTTTCTCGCCGTGAAGTCCGACTCCCATCGCTGTCGTGGCTGCGCGTCGTTGCGGCGCACCTGGCGTCGTTGCTGCGCGTCCGTCCGGGGCAGCTGGTTCGCCCCGCTGGCGAAGCAGGTTGGAAAGGCCTGTCCGAGGCCTGCCTCTTCTCTTCTTATGGGCTTCCGAAGGCAACGTGCCAGGTGACGTTAGGCGTTTTGGCCGAAAACAAAGAACCCCAGACTCCAAGACTCCAAGTACTGGAACCCCAAACAACATCCGAAACACGTCTGGTTGTTCCAATATGGCTTGCTTGAAATCCTTTACGGAAATGGTTGGGACTGGGGAGTTCCATCCATTTCTTTCTGGTTGGGACTGGGGTTCCAGGAAGTACTTGGTTTTGCTGAATACAGGAATCTGGATAGAAAACACCACATATTCCGAAGAAACACCGGAATACAAAACATCACCTGAAGCACCACCAGGAGTGAGTATGCCTGCCGCACTGGAATGCATTGTCCTGAAAAGGGGGTCAATGTAGGCGCCATGGATGGTAAGGTTGTCAAAGTGGGCTCCCAAAACCGAACTCTTGCACAAGAAACCGATGAGAGTTCCCAGAAATCATGGCAAGCATATGGAGAGGCGTGTAACACGCAGCCCTGACTCGTCCAAACCACACTGAATTTTCTTAATTGGTCTCCTTCCCCCACCAAAAGATACTAAAAGTGCCTTTCAGATTTGAGAGTTCCCCCCAGCCTTCTACGAACTTATTGGACCATCCTGATGAGATAGGGGAAGTGAGTTGATTTTGGCGGTCCAACTTCTACATCTTCAAAGCCATCCTCCACGCACCCCCCCCGCACCGAACCTCTGTGCGGAGGTTCGAAGAATTCCCAAGTCCCCCAGCGATGGGGCTGGCATCTTTCATGTGGACTCTTGATCCCTAGGGCTCCTGGCCTACCTCCTGAGAAGATGGTTGGGGTTGGTGCCAGGGGAGTCTAACCACCTTCTGATATGGTTGGAGCCCTAGGGGATATAAATATAAAACATACACTAAAACCTCCCATCTGTAACGATGGATGCGAGCTCCACCAATCAAACACCCGGCCTTAACAACTACCACAAGAACCCCGAGCAGTGCGACCACACTGTTTGGGGAATAATAAGCCTCCCCGATAGGATGAGATGATATGAGATGTTAGAATCCATGTCATGGGGGGTGTTGCAAATCAAACGGTTTACGTTAACCGATGAAAGGGCTCTCCACTCCCTCCGTCCTGCCCAACGAATCCCAGACCATCCATGTGCGGAAGAGTTGCTGCCATTAATTGAGGGTCATCAATCTTCATACATGGGTTACTGTAAATCTAACTACTGTAAAAGCAAATGTAACCATAGTCAAGCATTCCAGTCCCATGCATGGTCTGGTAAGGATCTCCCGAAGCGGCACCTCCATCAAAAGGGTTGCGCAGCCGCTGAACCCATCGAAGGCCACGGCCGATGTCGGGGAAAAAGGTGGCGATGGGAACACAAAGAGTAGGGGAGGCGCGACGTGATGCGATTGACGTGACGATCAACCCAAACAATTCTTGGGGTACGGGATCTGTTTCACCAGAAATGAAGCCCACCAACTTGATGCCAGGGGATCTGAGAATCCGAAGTCTGGAAGAAACAGAAAGCTGAGAATCTGCGATCCAACCAGTCGCTGAATTGGAACCAACCTCCCGAGCTGGTTGGTCCAAAATCATGCGACTGCCCCCAGACTGTATCCCTCGATTGGATCGGATGGATTCCGTCATGTGCTGCAAAGTTTAGCATGAACCATCAGGAATCAGGAACCATAGAAAAAGCAACGCACTTTTCGATTGCTTTGTTTGAATGTTCAACGGTTCAACGAGGCGTTCAACGCCTATGCACCCAACATCAGGATTACTTGGCGTTGCTCATAGAACCTCCTCTTGGGATGAACAGACCCACTTCTTCGCTGTGTTGAGAGCTGGATTTAGACTAAGAACCACCGGAGAGAGGTTATATTTGGATTTCCTCATCATAACTGGATTTGGTTGGGAAAGCACATGCACAGCAATTTATACAAGGGGATTTCCCCAAAAGCACAATCCAACCACCTTGAGAATTGCTACTCACTGCTACTCCAAGTTACAGAAGGCAACGGGGAGATGTTCACACAACACCTGTACTTTTGTGGGTACTTGACAACTAATGGCTGGGAACATCTTGGAATGCCCTATGGTACTTTACCTCTAGGGTACTTCGCCCCCAGTGTATGGTGGTACATAGAACCCCTGTGATTCTTGGACAACCAAGCTCAAGCACCCCCAAAATGTCCAAACTTCTCATCAACATCAACATAAAGGTCATTTCTGAGTTCCAGCCCAAAAACTTCATGGGACTGGAATAGTTGCGAACATTTACCCATGTTCTCCTGACCCATCCATGTAGAAAACTCTTCCAGTCCCAAACAGGTCGTGTTTACTTTTCAGGACCCAAAACCGCATGAAGAACTTTTGCCTTGGACCCTTGTATATCGGCTGTTGAAGAAGAACACATCCGTCGGGTGGCCACATCCGTCATGTTGGGGCTCTGTTGAGAAGTTCTGCTTGGAAGGTGGTTTCAGTGCAAAAACACGCAATGGCAATGACCGTTCTGTTTTTCTGGTGCAAACCGCGAAACACTCGCCTTAGCGAGCCAGGAGCCATGCAGATGTGAGGATTTTTCGGGGCTGGAACCGGAGTGAAGCAGACTTCGCACCTTCAGAAGTCTCTCCAAGCATCCAAAACCCATGCATTCCGCACGTTCCTCACTTGATCTCAAGGTCTACAGACTCTGGATCGTCTCTATGTTGCATTCATTCACATCACGGCTGAGGACATCCCCGTATCACAAGAGACCTTTCACTCCAACAGCATCTACCTTCTATTAATAACAAACCAAAACGCTCCAGCTCTCTACCAGGGCCTCATCCAGCTCCAACATCAGCTCTTCCTCCACGGTCTCCAGCAGGATGGGCCGTGCCGATCCAAGCCGATGAAGTGGAGGGTCTGCTTCTTCCCGGTCCTCATCAACTGGCGGAGTGGTCTTCATGAACTGGGCCCACATGAGACCCGGCCTAGTCTTTTGGATCTTTTGGGATGTCCATACCAACGGGCTTAGCCGTGACGGGTAAGCGTGGCTTAGCCGTCTCGACTGAAACTGTGACGTCAGGTGGAAATCCGACTGATGAAAAGCATGTGGTTTCGGATCGTATGAGCCAATTCCAAGTCGGTCAGCTAGCATGGTGATTGATTTCTGTTCTAGAAAACTCACACATAGCCTGCTATGCTGCAGGCTTAGCAGGTCAGTTGTAGAAACACTTCAAAAGTCCAGGTCAGCACGCCTCGCCTTCTACCCACATTGCATGCCTTCTAACCACAGGTCGTTGCAGAATTCGATCGTTAAGGCCCTCGTTCTCGGTTAAGCCGACTATCCCACATTGTGCCGCTCCAGAGCTATTTCGACCCCATACTGTATAGGTACCCCAGGTTTTCCGGGTGCTATGGTCACGGTCGGCTACCTCTCCAAGACTCCACCTTTGGCTTCACTGGCTCCACATGTCGGCTCGCTGCAGCGGATCGCGCTGTGACAGCCGCAGTTACGGCCGCAGCGGGGGAAGGTGTGGCGATCGGTGTCGCCAAGGTCTTGTACCAGGTCCAGCGCTGCTCTTCGAAGGTGCGGTAGAGCTCTGTTCTTCCTTGGGTGTTTCTCCCTGTTGGTGTGGTCAGTGGACGTACTTTTCAATGGTCTTGTGATGTCTTGTGGCTACTGAGAAGAAGCCACGGATCCCCAAGCCCTGATACATGAATCTTACATCAAACCAGGCAAGTGTCCATTGCTAGGGCAATGGCTGGTTGTATCTGTGGAAATGGCGAACCCCACGCCCCAATGACTGGTGGACAGGTTTATAGACTATAGATATGGTTCCCTAGGGATCCAAGTACCTTCTCAGAAGGTACTTGGACCCTCCGAACCTACATAACAGTGTCTACAATAACCGTACCTGAGAAGGTACTTGGATCCCTAGTGCTTCGATGCGGTTTGGAATTCCACCCGGACTGCAGGCCCCGACTCCATCAGAGTTCGGCTGGCTCGCAACTGTATACTATAGTGTGTAAAAAAAACATGTATCGACATGAACATGTCTTGAAAAACGGCCATTTCAAGTGCATGAAAACTCTTGCTGCTGGGTCCAGCTTAAGTTTGCATCATAGTAGTTCCAAGTATGCACAAATAGAGCTTATTTGCTCCACATCTTCGTCGATCCAAGCAGGTCCGACTACATCTCCCAACATCCGCACAAATGGGGAAACCTCACCACGGCCGCAAAAAGGACCGGAGAACGGGCCAAAAGGGCTTTACTGGCCATTTACCGTAGATCTAGTTGCTGCGAAAACCGCCTGATGTCCGATGTCCCTGATCTTTCCCAACAGAAGTGCGGAAACGTTGGGGTTTTCGTCGCTCCCTTACTGGGAAGCCACAAGTACTCCTCTTCGGCCGCGAGGGTTTTCACCCAGCACATCGCTCCAGGGTCGGTGTGATGGTGGTGGGGTGGGTGAAGGTGACCGTCTGTGCCGACTCCGTGTTGTCTGTGGGACAACCATTCTCTCGGAGAACCAGGCCTGCAACCATCTCCAAACATCGCGATGTTCTTCATGGTTCTTCTGTACCGACGGTCCCATTAAAAAATAAACACACACAAATCATCACAAATCTAGAAGTACTGTATATCCATTCCTTGGAGCATTAGATCTTGCTTCCACCCTGAAGAAGTTGCAGCCAACCCATCCGCCGATGTCCACGTCGCGTTCTTCTCAGACGAGCTTCTCCGCTTGGTCTTCCGGTGCTCCGGGTCCTGGAGAGTCAAGACGTCTGGTCACAAGGCTTCAGGTCCACATCATGGGTGCGGTTTCCCCAGTCCCAACCAGAAATGGGATGTTTCCACAAACAACCACAGTACTTTGCTATATATGTAAAGGATCAAACAATTGCCCTGTTGGAACAACCAAACGTGTTTCTGGTTGGGACTGGGGAAACCCAGGTATATGTTCCAGTCATATAGTCAGGCACGCCCTAAACATCCAACCTACCATCGAGTTTTTTTCGTGGATTGAGAGTACTGTAGATGGCACAAGTTACCTCCAAGTTTGGTGGTTGGAACCCAATCTTAAGGTCTTCTTGAGGCCTGAAAGTTGTGGCTGTTCATGGCAATGCACCGCTGTTCAGAAGTGAAACTGAACATACCAGTTGCATGTGATCAGCCGTCCACAAACACGCCCCAGGTCGGCAAAGCTATTGTCCCGGCAACGGTCAATGGATATAGATGTTGTGTGTACATTTGTGATCATTTGTGTGTCTCGTGCTGCACGGCACACATAATGTATACCAGGACCCTCCAAGGGGTGTCCAATGAACTACCCCACACTACCCCCCCTAGGCTTCCAGACAGGGCACCCCTTGGAGGGTCCTGGTATATATATATATATAGTAATTTAATATACCCTAAGAATCCTTGGGCTGTCCATGGCAGGGGTCGGACCCTCCATGGCAGGGGTCCGGGGCCTCAAAACCCTATCTATTTGAGGGCCCGGATTCTTAGGGTAATTTATATACAACAATTGTACCAATGTATGCACTTACACCGATGCTGCACTGCACACTCCCTAAAACTCCCTAAACTGATCATGGAAGTGGACCATCCCCTGCTATGGTCTTTCCAGGGGCTATGCCACCCACTTCCCATGATTATTTCAGGGAAAGTATGTACATCTTAAGAGGCATCGCCCTGGGAAAGCATCCGGTCATTTCCATGCACTGCAGTACTCCCCATCGATTCCCATGGATGCGTTGGAATCGATGGTGGGCTTGATGGTCCCACAACTGCCAAAGTTTGGCCGAAGGAACTCCGCCATGAAGAAAGGTATGACGGGGGGAAATCCGGAACCTTCGAAGCACAAAGGACAGGTGGAGAATAAAAATGGTGATATATATATATATATATTCCAACATTTTATAACATTTGCATACACTCCAACTCACCAACGTGGCAAGAAAGTGTCCACTTCCGTGTTAGTGAGTCAGAGTGTAAGCGCTTCAATTTCAGGTCAAAAAAAACATGGACTCTGTGCGATGAACGCTCATGGCAGGGCTTGCAGTTGCTGGCGCCCAAAAATGGCCAAAAAAGGACGGACATTTTTTGGCCAATTATGTCCAATTAATGTAGACTTTTGATTAATAAACCCTCCCATATGAAGAGGACTTCCAATTCAAATGGAACGGTTTCTTTTTCCAATGGACTCGGCTACACTAGCTGAGTACTTAATGTAGACTCGTGATTAATAACCCCCCCCATATGAAGAGGACTTCCAATTCAAATGAAACGGTTTCTTTTTCCAATGGACTCGTCTACACTAGCTGAGTGATTAATGTAGACTTTTGATTAATAAACCTCCCCATATAGGACTTCCAATTCAAATGGAACGGTTTCTTTTTCCAATGGACTCGGCTACACTAGCTGAGTACTTAATGTAGACTCGTGATTAATAACCCCCCCCATATGAAGAGGACTTCCAATTCAAATGAAACGGTTTCTTTTTCCAATGGACTCGTCTACACTAGCTGAGTGATTAATGTGGACTCTCGATCAATAAACCCCCCC